TGCGGGTTTGGGAACTTAGGGCTGTTTTTCATTTATTTCTGTTTCTTAAGGCTTCTTATTTCTGTTTCTTAAGGCTTCGCCTTATCGTTTGTTTCTAATAATCTCTCCGTAATTATCAGCTTTGGCTAGAATGTCAGATAACCAAGCTTATTAGAATTGTGTATAAAACAAGATGAATTGCCTCTGACTAAGCACCTCTGAATTCAACACATGGCTTTTCCTTTGTTTTTGTTTTTTGTTGTTGTTGTTGGTTTTTGTTTTTTCTTCCTTTTTAGGTTTTTGCCATAGGGAGTGTGTGCTTGTCGGAGAGAGACAGAAAGATGGGAAAGTGAGAAATCACCCCCTAGAAGAGATGGCTATACTGCAATTCCTTCTCCTTCATTCTTCTCTTGGCGTTTTGGGCATACATGCAATGACCCTGTTGTGATTTTCAAGCCACCGGGTCCAGGACTCAATCTGTCATGTGGGAATCCTGCACTTTAACCACCATGTCACTTGCTGGCCCCAACACATGGCTTGTACTGCATGAATTTTGTGACATCTATTTGGCTTCTTGAAATCCCCATCTTGCTAACGTTCTGATACTCTGTTTCCTCCCCTGCTCCAAACGCATGAATTGAGATCAAAAGGCTAACTAGGGCCAAATGGGATTCTTAGGGAGACGCAGTTCATGAGGATGGACTGAGAAGTAAACAGCAGAGACAGCCTTTCATTCAACTTTAAGTTGAACTGCAGTTCTCTGTAGGGTTGGGAGTAAGGGCTATTTCTCCTCTCTAGAATAGAGTGGAATGGAGTTTCATCAATTGTCTCTTAGAATCTGACAAGCTCTCACTGACTAGTAGCCTGCTGTTACTCCCCTACACAGTTAGGGGTCAGAAGATCAGATAAAGAAAGGCCAGTGTTTGAGAGTTTAATGCCATGGATGAGTATGGGAAGACAGGATAAAGAGATCTGCGGCCAGTCTTGACTCTCACAGTGTCGCTTCTCCAAGATCCAGCATCTTTATGTGAGCTTTATAAAATGGAGCTCTAGAGACTGACTCTAAGAAACTCACTCACTGATAGTCCCTACGCTGTAGTGCCTGGGTCCGGACTTGCTCCCAGGTCCTGGCCAAGGTGTGTCCTTACTTTGCAACAGCTCACGCACACCCCATGGTCTGGCCTTGCCCTTTCTGCCCTCCCTCCTTGTTCTATTTCTCCAGGGTCTCCGAGGCTTCTCTGTTCATCTGGGCTCAGGGCTGTGAATCTGAAGTTGAGGTCCCATTCTCATCAGTAGATGGATCCTGCTACTCGTTCCTCAGGGCTTGGCTGAGGGATAGGTGGGAGGAGGCTACTGCAGCTGGGAACCGGACCCTAGCGGGGCGGTAGCTGGCCGTGCTCCAGAGTTGCCTCATTCTTCTGGAACAGGCACCTCTGTCCTCAGAACCAGCAGCAGGTCTCTCTTCACATCTGGAAAAGTTCAAAAGTGTTTGTCTGGATGAAGGAGGCCCCTTGGGGGAGGGGTTCAAAAGCATGACATCACCTCAGCAGGTCCAGCTTCCTGTGGAGAGAGAAAAGGGTGGGGTCGGGCTATACCAGATGGGATTCCCCGGAATTGATGTGTTGGGGGAGTGAAGGGAGAGTGTGGGTAGGAAGAAGAGTGTCAAAGTGGGTGGGTGTTCTAGGGGACATTTTGGAATGGTCCCTTGAGATGATAACTCTGTAATCCAATGTCTGGATGTTAGCACCACGAGCCCCTATAATAAATTCACACCTGAGGACCATATTGGCCAGAGAGTCCCTGCTGAAAAAGGGAGATGCCGGGCCAGCTCTGTGCCTGGTGGTTAAGGCAGCTGGATCCACATGGCCAATCTTGTTTAAGACCTAGACCTGGTGGCTTGAGAAACATGTGGGGCATATGAGTGTATGTGCCCCAAATCCTGACAGGATGGAGAAATGGAGGAGAAGGGATTGCACTGAGACCATTCCCCACGGGGGATGCTTTCTCCCTCCATCCTCTCTCTCTGTCTCTGTCTCTCTCTTTATGGTGAGCACAAATGCCCACTAGCCTAAAAAAAAAAAAAAGCAGACACTTGGATTGACTTCAGCATTTATTTTATTTTGATCAATCCAACTTTTTTTCTAATAATTATTTATTTAATTTTATTTATTATTATTTTTTCAATTTGACTGAGAGAGACAGAGATAGAGAGAGAGAGCATGAGAAAGCAAACTGCCAGGTGCAGGACTCAAACCAGGGTCAGCCATTTGGGAATCCAGTACTTTAGCCACCACACCACTTGCCAGCCCCTTGATCAACTCAACTTCCATCTAAGCTAGATAGACACCCATCTTTTCTCTCTAGAGGTGTGGAGAAAGTACCCAGATTCTTAGCCATTTAGCCCTGGCCTGAACCCGTTGCTACATCTACTCAGGAATCAGTTAAATATCTTGTCCCTTTGCCCCTCTTTGCCAACACCTTGATCAGATTCTTCATCTCTAGGGTGGAGAGGATGATATCACTCCTTCTCCCTGCTTACCTGACATGTAACATTGAGACACAGTCATTGCACCCACCATTAACAATCTGCTTTAGCAGGTGCTGAGGAAGGCAGATGTGGGACAGTGAGACCCTTGTCATGGCCTTTATGGGAAGCATCCTTGGCATCAGGTTAACTGCCTTGAAACTACAGGTCTTATTGCTGAGGCTCCTTGACAGTGAGGGAAACAAGAGGTGTCATCCTTCATTGCTGTTTACCTGAATCCTTTAAAAAACACCAACCTTGATCTCAAATCAGGAAAATGTAGAGACAAGGTTTAGGGTGGCCTGGGACCCTTGAGTTTTTCCTTTAAGACGATATTGCTAGGACCAGCAGTTAGCGTAATGGCTATGTCGCTGGACTCCCATGTAGTCGACCGTGGTTCGTGTCCCAGACCCAGTGGCTTAAACTCACGCCAGGCGCGTGTGCATGTGTGCCCAAGATCCCGAGAAGAGAATGGAGGAGAAGGGATTGTGGCGTGGCCATCCCCCCTGGGGAGTGATTTCTCGCTTTCTGTCTCTCTGTCTCTCTCTGTCTTTCTGGTGAGTGCACGCGTCGTATGGGAAAAAAAAAACTCTCCAAGAAAAGAAAAAAAAAACAACGATATTGTTCTGGATATCAAGTCCACCTTTAACATTTATAGGGCCTAAGACAAGAATGTATCAGAGGCCAACAGACTATATGCCAAAATACTTCAAAGTTATAAATCAGGCCAACTAACTGATAAATAAAACATCTTCTATCTTCTTACCTTGCCAAACATACTTTTGTGGCTACCTGGAAGATCATGTTTGATTTGGGGACTGTCACACTCCTGAGTTCATTGCCACAATGTGGCTAAGCAGGAGTAGATGGCATCTAGTCCCAGGTTACTTTCCTTCTCTTTTTCCTAATCATGACTCTGGCCCACACTGTGGGGATCTTGGCATATATGCTTGGGGTGCCCCACCCATATGCTTAAGCAATAGCCCTTCTCCTTGAAAGCAGCCATCCTTTGGCCACCATTGGGCTTTGGGAGTACACAGCCTGGTGCTAGAGTTTACTCTTGGGAGGACTGACTGGCAGGAAAGGTCCATGCAAGTCCTAGATGTGAGCAATGAGCTATTTGGTCAAGACGTTCTGATCCCAGCAGTGTGGTCTGGAAGAGAATATATCCAGTTTACCCTGACAGGAGACAGGTAAGGTAGGTACAGGTGTACTCTTAAGGTGCAGGATCCAGGCAGAAGACTTCTTCCTGGGTCTAAGAATGGTACGGTCTATGAAAAGGAGAAGCAAACATGCTTATGAAGAACTTCAGAAAATAACTAGGCCCAGGAATTATACTATAAATTACGCTATAGTAATTTAGCACTTACTTATCTCAATTGATTTTCCCAACAATCCATGGATGGTGTCCCAGTTTATTTAAGAGACAAACTGAGGGGACCAGCAGATGGCATAATGGTTATGTCACTAGACTCCCACATGGCCAACTGCAGTTCAAGTCCTGGACCTGGAGGCTTGAAACTCACACTGGATATGTGTGCCCAAAATCCTGAGAGGAGAATGGAGGAGAAGAGATTGTGAAGTGGCCATCTCCCTGGGGGGTGATTTCTTGCTTTCTGTTTCTCTGTCTCTCTGGTGAGCACATGCGCCCTGTAGAAAAAAACATATCTCTGGAGGAAAAATAAAGATACAAACCAAGACATATACACACATGAAAGTAAATAGCACCGGTACTATGCTTTTTATCTTCCCACTGCGTTTGATGCAAAATCAGACTGTATTTCTAGGCCAGAGCTTCCAAAAAGAAATCTTGGGGTTCTTGGTTGCTACTGAGTTTCTCAACAAAAGAAAAGGAGAATTGGGTCCAAGGGCCTTGAGCAAAAGAATGAGATGAGTTTGGGAATGGGGAAGTCAGAGAAAAATAGATTCTTTTAAAGGAGCGTGCATAAAGACAGTATGGGTCTAGTGTTTATTCCCAGAGTTAATATACTGGTTGGAGAGTGACTGAAAAAGAAAGATATATTGAAAAGGAAATAGAAGCATGTCTTCCTTTATGTGTTAAAACACAATACATACACAAGTATAATTTCACATTTTAATATTTCACTAAGTATATTGTGAATATTGCCTTATATTTCTATGTTGTTATAATTTTCATAATTTTTATTTGTAATAGTTGTGTATATGATCCTATGGCCATTATGGCTTATTGGGTGCATATATCATTTGTCTTATTGTAATTTGTTTAATTGCTTGCAACTTTGACCTCTTATAAGTAATACCATACTAGAAACTTGTTTGCATGTATTTTTTCTTCCCTATTTCCTTAGAGCAGATCTAGTAGTGGGAAATTAGTTCACTATCCAGGAAGATGTTCTTGATGTTACTCCATTGCCAAGGGCAACAGAGAATGTTCCAGCCGAGGAATTGAATCGGGTAATATCACAAGGCTCCAGGAAGATTTAGGTTCTAATTTTCTCTCTTCATTTCTCTACAGCTTCAGGATTCACAAATATGGCCAACTCTACTGTTAATACCATAGAATCTTCTACCCCGAGAATATATTCAGCTATTCCTACAAGTACGTCCCACCAGAAAACCACATCACCAAGTGCTCCTGGAAGTATCAGCTCCCACCCTGTCCCTCAGAACAGCAGTGAGACCACAACAATCATCTCAGGTAAGGAATTTGTTTGGCTCAGTCACAGAAATGCTGCTTGTGCTTGGTTAAAGCATTTCGGGTGCTTCCAGTCTGTTCTTCCCACCAGCGTTGGAATCATACAGGTCTCTGTATTAATGTTTCTCAGCTATCATGCTTAGGGACCCTAAAGATCATTCTAGATCATTCTTCCTATATGGACAGCTACCTAGGCCAATGCCTTGGCAATTGACCCTGACCAGTAATGCTCCCTGAACCCCTTCTCATGCTTACGTCAGCTTGGTGATAAAATAAGGCCCAGCTGCAATAGTACAGTTCTGCAAAGCTGGAAGCCACGGAAAATTGCAATTTGGTTCCTGGGTCAACTTGTACATGCCAGGCACATGTAGACATGCCTACAATCCTGGTTGGCTGGAAAGCCTTGGGAGGAATGTGGTATGAGACCCTATCAAGGGTGCTTCTCTCTCTCTCTCTCTCTCGCTCTCTCTCTTTCTCTCTCTCTCTGTCAACTGGACTCCCATAAAATAAACTTTAAAAGAAAATGAAGGGACCAACAGTTAGTGTAATGGTTATGTCACTGGACTCCCATATAGTTGACTGCGGTTTATGTCCTAGACCCGGTGGCTTGAAATGTATGCCGGGCACATATGTGTGCATGCCCAAGATCCTGAGAGGAGAATGGAGGAGAAGGGATTGCGGCGTGGCCATCCCCCCTGGGGAGTGATTCTCGCTTTCTGTCTCTCTGTCTCTCTCTGTCTGGCGAGCGCACACTCCCTATAGAAAAGAAAAAAAATACTCTCCCCCCTCAAAAAAAAATGAAGAGGGGGACTGGCAGGTAGCATAGTGGTTAAGGTGCTAGACTCCCACATTGCTAACCACAGTTCAAGTCCCAGACCTGGCAGCTTGAAACAAGCAGGGTTCATGTGCATGCATGTCCAAAATCCCAAGAGAAGAATGGAGAAAAAGGGATTGCAGTGTGCCCATTCCTCCAAGGGGTGATTTCTCACTTTCTGTCTCTGTCTCTTGAGTGAGCACATGTGCCCTCTCTCAAAAAAAAAAAAAAAAAAGAAGAAGAAAAGAAAATAAGGAGGGGCCAGTAGGTAGCATGGTGGTCAAGGTGCTGGACTCCCATGTGACGGACTATGGTTTGAGTCCTTGAACCAGCAGCTTGAACTTCATGCTGGGCATGTGTGCATATGTGCCCAAAATTCCAAGAAGAGAATGGAGAAGGGATTGTGGCATGGCCATACCCCTCGGGGGAGAGGGAATTTTCTCATTTTCCCTCTCTCTCTCTCTCTTGTGAGTACACACATCCTATGGCAAAAACCTTATAAAAGAAAGAAAGAAAGAAAGAAAGAAAGAAAGAAAGAAAGAAAGAAAGAAAGAAAGAAAGAAAGAAAGAAAGAAAGAAGAAAGAAAGAAAGAAAGAAAGAAAGAAAGAAAGAAAGAAAGAAAAGAAAAGAAAAGAAAAGAAAAGAGAAAAGAAAAGAAAACAAGGATTAGATGAGGACTTCACAGAGATCTCTGTTCTCTTCTAAATGAAGGGAGGTAGATACAGATTCAAACTGGGGGTATTTGGCTTGTCTAGGGTGGACCAACATCTATTTCACTTTAGAGCAGGGATCTTCAACCCATGAAGTTGGGATACACAGGTGAACCGCAGGTGAGTGAGCAAAGCTTCATCAGTAATTACAGCCACTCCCCATCTCTGGCACTGCTGCCTGAGTTCTGCCTCCTGTCAGATCAGAGGCAGCATTAGATTCTAGTAGGAACACAGACCCTACTGGGAACTGTGCATGTGAGGGATCTAGGTTGTGCGCTCTCATAAACCATTTCCCCTATCCCAGTCTGTGGAAAAATTGTCTTCCATGAAACCTGTGCCTGGTGTGAAAAAGGTTGGGGACTGCTGGTTTAGAAGAACCCTAAAGACACCTCTAATATCCTAGATTAGAACTATGGTTCCAACCACTGTCTTGAAATGAGTTTGGTCAGGGAAAGGACATGAAGTTACTGCTAACTCCCCAAGCTCCCTTTTCTTTCTTTTTTTCTTTTCTTTTCTTTTTTTTGAGAGGTTTTCGCTATAGGGCGTGTGCGCTCGCCAGACAGACAGAGAGAGACATAGAGACAGAAAGCGAGAAATCACCCCCCAGGGTGGATGGTCACACCGCAGTCCCTTCTCCTCCATTCTCCTCTCGGGATCTTGGGCATGCACGCACACGCTCCCTGTGTGAGTTCTAAGCCACCGGGTCCGGGACGCGAACCGTGGTCGACTACGTGGGAGTCCAGCGACATAGCCATTACGCTAACTGCTGGTTCCCACCAAGCTCCCTTTTCTGTGTTGAAGTTCATACCCATGTCATGAACTGAGAATATGTGTGTGCACATGCGTGTGTGTGTGTGTGTGTAACTGAGAATATGTATGTGCACACGCGCATGTGTGTATGTGTGTGTGTAAGGATGCACACCTGTTTTCTGTTCTGTTCTAGAGACTACAGTCAACTTTACATCTACCTCTGGGGTGATCCCAGTCTCTGGAACCACAAATTCTTCTGTCCTGTCTCCAACCTCAGTAGCCATCTCATTGTCCAACACTCCAGCAAACTTTTCAACTTCAGAAATGACCTTGAAGCCCAGCATGTTACCTGGAAATGCTTCAGATCCCTCACCCAACAGCACCAGCCCTGTGACACTTCTCACGACATCCTATACATCAGCATCTCCTACCTTAAGTATCATCAAGGTGGGTGAATTGGGCCAAATGGTAGGTTACTTCCTCCCTTCTTCTATTCAAGCAAGCTCTCTTTCC